CCGAGTGAGCCGTCGGTCCAGTTCAGTCGAACTGGTCCGGTCAGCCGGACTGTTCGAATTATATTTCAGATAGAATGTCAGATAAATTTCAGATACAGTCAGATTAAGATTTCAGATAAAGTTAAGAATTTCAGATAGATTTAAGATTCAGATATAGTTTAGATTTCAGTCAGATTAGATTAAGTCAGATTCTAGTCCCAGACATATAAATATTTCAGAGAACTCTAGAATGCCTCAACGACGATAATATTTTCAAAATCAGCTCGTAAATCCTTAAATGATTTTTAAAGCCGAGTGAGCGAATCTAGATATATAAGATATTTAAGATATGAGTTTTATTCTGAGCCTAGTACTTAGAATATTTCGCTCAATATATTTTGTAGCTTGAGGAGAGTCGAGCCTCCATCAGCTACCCATTTCAGATATATTCAGCATTCGCTTTCGCCAGTTTGCAGGTGGGGACCATGTACTGCGTATTTCATCGCTTTTAATAATTTACCATGTCTAAGATCTATATGTGATTAAACTGAAGGACCGAGACGGATGAGTGATCCCGTCTTGGTCAAGATATTAGATGTCAGTTATGACTTAGATGAGTGGGCGAGGCCCAGCCTAAGTCCAGCGTCCAGATGAGTGGGTGAGGCCCAGCCTGGATTTCTGTGGGAGGGGACCCCCAGAGTGTGCACATGAGTACCGGTTTACCGTTAGTCCCATAGCTAGACCAGTTTATTCATATATATGTTGATTCCATAGTTTATTATTAATTGTGCTGAGTATTCAGTACCGGTTCCGGCGGAGCACCGTTGATTCCTTTGTGCTCACGCCTCCCCACTACCCTATTTTTCAGGTGATGGAGTCCCGCGTGGAGCGTGAGCAGTTATGTGGTGTTGGTCCAGCTTCAGGACATTTTTGTGAAAACATGTCATATAGTATTTGAACATGTTCGAATTATCTATGTTTGTTTTATGCTTGTGTGCTTTTCTGAACTTGTACTTGCTTCCGCATGTTAGACTTGTGTTTCAGATGTCAGATTTCAGACTATTATTTCAGATGTTAGATTATGTCAGATTTTCAGAATATGCATGTTTTAGCCGGTATTATTCATGGCCTTAATTCTAGAATGATTTTACCTGGTCGCATGCATGATAGATTATAGTGATAAAGATATAAGATTAAATTTGAGTAGCATCCCGCGTTTTAAAGTTAAAGTATTTTCGAAAAAATAATATGAGTTTTTGAAAATTAAATAAGTGTTTTCCTTTTATAGCGCGAAAAATTCACTCTGATTTTAGTAAGTCTTAGGCCGGGTGTTACATGCCTCCCACGAAGCGCTCAATTTATTGTCTTGAGCTCGACTTTCCCAACGAAAATCAACCGGGATCTAGGAAAAAATGTCGATCATGCCAGGCCTTTGTATTTTCCAAGAGAAGTCCCGACGGTAGTACGGAACAAAGGCGGGCAAGGTAAGCTCTCGTGGTCGCGTTCTTGTGAAACCTAGCACGGATTTCGACAACCAACAAGAGGAGAGATAGATCTTTACGCATCACGGCCCCATAGCTGATCTCCGAAAATATGAATATATCCGTGGAGCATGTCGAAATCATCTCGGGAATCACAAGTGTTATCTCGGACGTGTAGTTAACAACCTCAATCATCGGGAGCACGGGTGTGAACTCCTCCTCTTTGTCACAATCCTCGATAACACGAAATGACGCCCCAAAGGTCATGGGCACCACCTTATTCTCAACATCCCAAGGCATCTCATCCACACACGGCACATCCGGCTTAACAACATCATCTAAATGCTCGGATTCCTCCTCACTACCACTATCATTCTCCTCCTCATCATCACCAACACCTTCATTACCCCTCGGCTCACTCAAATCCTCAATTGAATTATCTCCCAATCCATCCTCAACATCAACTTTCGAATCCATACTCTCCTCAACAATCGAATCAAAACCCAAAGCACCATCAACGGAAGAAGATTTTGACGTACCTAGTGTAGAATGCAAATCCACGCCATCACAAGGAGGAAGTTCTTTAACAATAAGCTCATCGATGTCCTCACTCGTGTCTAAAGGTTGAGTTCCATCGTACACGGGAGTGAGACCCTTCTCTTTCAAGGAAGCAAAACGATCCACCATAACTCGAAATTCGCTCTCTAATCGAGTGCTCTCTCGAATAAGCATTGCCGATAGAGTAGAATATCTACCGAGCGGGATAGAAGATGAATCCAAGTCGAGAAAAGACACCACGGTGGAGTCAAACTTCTCAAGTGTAGCACGGAGAATGGATGGAATCGGGATGCACCTCCAACTATGAAACTCCTCGATGATCGACGCGAGGCTCGCGAGTGCGTCTTGAGTACTTGCCAAAACTTCTTGGTGACGATCGATCGGCCCAACCTCGGAATGAAATGAAGCTCCAAGACTAGATGAACGAGGTTGGCCAACCGATGGATGCTCAAATACCGAAGAGGGAAAAGTGAAGGACTCGGTTTCTTCTTTTTCGGATAGGGAGGCCAATGAAGAACGAGGGGGTTGAGTGTCCTCCTCCAACTTTGCCATGATCTTTTCTAATTCGGTTGGAGGGGCCCGAGTCGGCTCGGGTTGAGGCATAACATCATATGAACCGGGAGGTGGAAGATAGTAGAGAGGCGTCTCGTCATAAGCCGGATAGTGATCATTATAATCACATTAGGGTGTGGAATAAGGGTGGCTCGGGGCAAATGAGTTCATCTCCCCTTGAGAATTGTCGGGGTATCCACGAAATGAGCTCCCGGCATAATAGTGAGAATAGGGATCCATCCGGGCTCCTCAAGCGTAATACCTCGCACAAGAAAAAGAAAAACAACCCAAGGCACACGAGGCAATAGAGAGAATAACAAAAGGCGAAACTAAAAACACATAATATTTACACGGGCACGGAAGCAAAAGCAAGAGAAATGGAAAATAAGCAAATAATCAAGAGAAACACGCAAAAACGAGCAAAATCCACAAAAAGCAAGAGAAACACAGAAACAAACGACAACTAGATAGTAAACTTGGCGTCCTACTCGCCTTCCCCGGCAACGGTGCCATTTTGTTTGTAGTATTTTTGGGCATGTGGTAACCGAGTTACCCGACTCGGGTCGTTCTCAAAGGAAGGGTCTACGGAGCTTTGTTCACTACCTAGTCGTCAAAGTCACAAAACCGAAAAGAAGGTCCTACACATTCTACTCGCTTGATTGGGGGATGATTGTATGAAATTACGCTAAGAATCTAAAAGCAAATGATGAAAGATGCATCATTTAAAAGAAATATCGGAACTTTGGTCTACCAGAATCCCCATGACTCAAGAAAAAGAAAAATAACAAGAGAAATCATGCAAGCATAGCGATCCTAGGTCTTCTAACGCGAGCTTTCTACACTAAATCATTACTCTTTGAGCAAAGTTGAAATCTTTCTAGATAAGCACATATCGAATCCTAACACACCAAAGCAAGCAATGAAAATAAAGTGAAAACCTAGAATCGAGCATCAACACAAAATCGAAAAACAAACTCGAAGTAATTAGCCCTAAGCAAGGTACTCACCCTCGTATCGCATGCGTAGACGAAAATAGTGCGTAAAACTCGAATCTTGATAGAAAATAAAGTTGTCAGAATTTCACCGAAAAAATTGAGTCATGAGTCTCCAACCAAAGCATAAAAAAATAAAAGAGAGAAAATGGAGAGGATTTCCCAACTTAAAAGTTGGGAAATGAGGGTTGTGTCCAAAAAATACAAAGCAAGATGTCTATATATAGCTACACCACAAACACAAACTAAAAATAGGCACATTTACTAAGGTACTCTCGAGCTAGCCATGAAATCCGTGAGCTCGAGAGTGTGGTTTGGGCATTGGCAGCACGGGGCACGCGGGCGTGCGGGCGTGCGGGCGCGCGGGCGTGTGGGCGTGCATGGGCGCGGGCTAAGGCAAGTGACACTCTCGACCTCGCGGAAGTTGCGGCGAGCTCGCGGGCTTGGAGTGGAGAGCACTCTCGATCTCGCGGAAGTTGCGGCGAGCTCACGGGCTGGGCGCCATTACTTGTGTTGGGGCTCGTGCGGGCGCGGGTGTGGGCGCGGGCGTGCTGCGCTCGGGAAAGGGCTCGGTCATGACCCGTTGATGCTCGATTCGCCCTAACTTCTCGCGCACATATCCGATTGACTTGAAACTTTGACCCACGCTTCCCAAATCTCTTTCTCCTCATCTTGGAGTGCTCAAATTGATATTGCCGCGCAATTAATATATATGTTCGAAATGACTCAGAAATGGCTCGCGTGGCTCGAACATGGTTCGGACGACTCGAAAATGTCTCGGAAATGGCTCGTCTTCCCAAGATCGAATAATGTGGACCTAAACAACATCAAAAAGACAAGAAAAGTACGCCGAACCACAAAAACACAATACGAGAATAAAAATGCACAAAACACGATAAAATGGACCGGTTGTCAAACGAACCTAAAAACACTAAACTCAAGCACATAAAACACAAGAAAATAAGCACACAAAAACACAATAAACACTGAGGGCCGAATTTTTCCTTGTTTTATTCAAATTTTTGTTCAAAATTTTCCTTCTTTTTCTTATTTTTTCGTGAGTTAGGAGAGTATAAAAAAAAAGTGTCATCCTAGTTTGTTTTGATTTTATTTTTTAGAGTCTTAATATATAT